TAGGGAATCAAATGAAGCTTTGTATTCTATTCAGAAAGATAAGTGTAAAAGGAAGAGAAAAAGAGAACCACTAAAAAGGAAGCAGGCGTTGAATGGAGTGGACGCTGACCTCGCACTGCCCTTTTCCACTTCCGTGACTGGTAAATGCCAAGGGCTCCCCTGTTCATTTGCAGGAGCTTGAGTGTCTCCAGGACCATCTGGACGACTTGGCTGTGGAGTGCAGAGACATCGTTGGCAACCTCACTGAGCTGGAATCTGAGGTAAGCAGAGTGCAGTTGCTGGGGGAGTGTGGGTTGCCAGCGGCCCCGCATTTTCTGCTTAGTTCTGCTGGTTCCAGAATCCTGAGAGCATAGATTATCTGTCAGTCAAAGGAAACCTAATCAGATTCTCCCTGTTAGCTTTACAAAGAAGAATGTAGTGCCCCTCTTAAACCCCTTCCCTCATTTCTCTAGACAGACACTCTATGCAGCTGACGTTTTTATTTTTGTCATAACTTATCACAGTAACTAAACGTATATTTTTTTACACTGTAAGAACAGATAGAAGTGTACTTTAGTTTCTTAATCACATTCAAAAGCAATCTAAGCATTCCTGTTCTCTGTTCTTCTCTACTAATTACATCATTTGCTGATATTTGTATGTTTAATTAAAGAAAACCTGGGGACCTCAGATAAATGTGGAAGATTGAATTCATGTATTTATCCCCATTCCATCCTGAAGTCCACTGAAATAATTAAAAACTAGAATTTAACCTCATCAGCATAGGCATATTATTTAGAAGTAAAGAGCTTGTCACTGTGGCACAAGGCTGCAAAAGATGTCACAGTTGCCTTGTAGGGGCAGAAATCCAAGAAATGGGAGAATTGCTGTTTTTTCATTAGAGGCCTTTTAGTACTCACTGACTTATCAAAATGGGCAGTGCATAACCTTATATTCCTGAACCAGTCCCTTTTTGCTTTCTCATTTTCAAAAGTTTCTTGCCTTCTCTCACCTTCCATCTTCTCCTTGCCCTTCCCATTGTCCTTGTGGGCTTATGAGGCCAATCTCAAGTGCAGAACAGCAGCTAGCGTGGTCCTGAGTTACTCTGCTTAGAGGTGTTTAGTATGTGTTCCCCAGAAGCAATGCTTTAGCATCTGTTTGAGGGCTCTGATCTGGCTTATGAGCTTAGAAACTAAAGATAGATGTCGGTTACCCCATTTTCATTTGGAACTGCTTAGCGTTTTGGAAAAACCCCAAAGGCTTACAGACACTGATAGTATTGCCAACTGTTTTCTTAATTCTGCCTTCTCTTTCGTTCAGGTACAAGGAAAGTCTACTTCTAGAAATTTGCCTTCAAAGTGTAACGAAGGAACAGTTGTGTCTATTCCAGGGCTATTTAGCTGAAATACAGGCTACTTTCCAAAGGGGTATACTGTATTAGGTTATTTGTCCATCAGATGCTAATGATTCAGAGAGAACACCCATTTGTCTTCCACTCTTGGCTCTTTCTAAAGCTTAGTTATTAATATACTTAATCTTCTACAGGATATTCAAATAGAAGCCTTGCTGATGAGAGCCTGCGAGCCCATAATTCAGAACTTCTGCCACGTAAGTGATATCTGGAGGGACAGAGGTTAAAAACAAAACCAAAGTCACTGAGACTCTGGCCCCCAAGTGTGTGGGACTTACCTCTGTCTTCAGCCTACATTATTCCTGAGTGATAGCCAGCTTTGACAAGTTACAGATGAAAATGTAAACACGAGCAAGAGAGAGGTACCACCATCCTGGGAAACCCGATCTGATTAGACTTTGTAGGTGAGCAGGTGTGTGGTCAGCAAGCGACCTCTTTTTTTATTAAAATAAAAGGGGGGGAACAGGAAAGCCCCCATTCCCTCTTTCTTGGTTCCTAAAGTAAGTGTGGCTGACTTGCTTCTGATACAGCAGCCCTGGAGTTTTTAGCAGTAATGATGACTTCCCGTTTCCATTTGTCTCTTATTGCCATAATCTTTTTTTTTTTTTTTTTTAAGAATTATCTTATTTATCTTTATTGATTTAAATTTGATCAGAGAGGGACAGAGTGAAAGAGAGAAAGTGAGAAAGCAAGCCTCCAGGTCTGGGACTCAAACCATGGTCAGCCGAGTGGGAGTCCAGCACCCTTAACCACCATGCTACCTGCCAGCCCTTGTACCATAATCTTGAGTGAATTCTGTTACTTTCATACTTATTCACTTACTGAACTACCTTAACTGGTGGGGTGAAACACCCAGGAACCATTAGGACCTAACATCTTGGGGGCTATGTTAGCTGTTATCCTGGAAGTCAGCTGCTGGAATCATAGGAGGAAAGCGAAGAAAGCTCTCAAAATGCCTGCTCTGGCCTCTTGCAGAACGACTTGCTGTGCAAATTGTTCTGCACTGGATGTTTATTCTTTGTGATTTCTCAGACTTAACTTTGATTCAACTTAAGTGTCTTTTTTGTGAAGGCTTCTAAAGACAGTCCTGTTTGCATTTTTGCTGGATAGAGCTGCAGGTTTTGCCCATTCATTGTCTTCCCCAGGATGTGGCAGATAACCAGATAGATTCCGGGGACCTGATGGAGTGTCTGATACAGAACAAACACCAGAAGGATATGAATGAGAAGTGTGCCATTGGAGTCACCCACTTCCAGCTGGTTGGTAGCACCTGCCTGTCGGTTTTCTGTCTTAGCTGCTGGGGCGGTTACTGCACCCCTTCCTATTTTGAAACATCCGAGCACTTCTGCTGTTCTGTGAAAAATAATTTGCTCCTGGGAACCAGCAGTTAGCGTAATGGCTGTGTCGCTGGGCTCCCACGTAGTCGACCGCGGTTCGCGTCCCGGACCCGGTGGCTTAAAACTCATGCCGGGAGTGTGTGCGTGTGTGCCCAGAATCCTGAGAGGAGAATGGAGGAGAAGGGATTGCAGCGTGACCATCCCCCCCTGGGGGGTGATTTCTCACTTTCTGTCTCTATGTCTCTGTCTGTCTGGTGAGCGCACGTGCCCTATAGTGAAAATCTCTCCCATAAAAAAATAAATAAATAATTTGCTCCTGATATATGTCCTATTTTTATTTGTTCTCAATAAATGTGATGTTTACATACTGCAGCCAGGCACTTTGTTAGGCTCTTTGAAATGCAGTGATAGACAGCGTAGTCCCTGCACAGAGAGCACAGTGTGATGGGAGTAGGGACAACCAGGCATTTCCTGCTGTAGTTACATTCCTTCCCGGCATAAGATACTCTAGCCTCTCCTTGAATGGGTAACGTCACTGGAATCTACTGTTTTATGTAACTGTTTAATGCAGGGGACTAAATACATATCAGTACACTGAATCCTAAGCCTTTTTCCCTTTAAATCACACAGTCCAGAGCTGACGTTTGAATAAGGCTAGACCATACTCTTTGTGGTTACCACATGTAACTGAGGAAGTGTTCCTGCCATGGCAAGCACTTCCTTCCCAGGGAGACGAAATCTGGCCACTGTCTTAATTGACATCTTCTCAGGGCATGGAACCTACCCAGCTGTGCACTCACCAAGTATTACTGAGCACCTCTGAAGTGCCAGGCACGGGGAGGCCCTGTGGGAAAAGCCAGAGTTCTCATGAGCTTCAGGTTGTACTACAAGAAAGACACAAAGTGCACAGACAGATGTTTAGTCTCGGGTGGTTCTAGGGAGTGGGGTCGGTGAAGGAGAAAGGGGGCTTCGAAAGGAGATACTTGAAACTCCAAGGAAGTGGCAGAACAAGCCACGCGAAGCCCTGAGAGAGGAGGACTTCTGGCAGAGGGGCCAGCACGCATGTGGTTGCAGTGGTGGCGGAGCCAGGCTGCCTGAAGAGCAGGGCGTCAGGGAGAGATTGGAGGCCATGAAGTGCGAGAGGCAGAGAGCACTTGCAGCAGGGTCCTGCAGGCTTCTGGAAGCTAGATGGGGCGGGGGGTTGGTGTCTTCAAGACGTTCGTGGAAAATGTGTATCATGAAGAAAGTATGTGTGGATTTCAAATTTTTTTCACTAAAGGAAATTTGTACTTTAATTCCATTTTCCCAGAGTTACTGAAGTATCCTCATATAAATACAATATCACTCACCACTGTGGGCTAGAACTTGCCACAGAGCTCCTGATTTTCTGTCTCATCATTTTTCAGGTGCAGATGAAGGATTTCCGGTTTTCTTACAAGTTTAAAATGGCCTGCAAGGAAGATGTGTTAAAACTCTGTCCCAACATAAAAAAGAAGTACGCAGCTTTCAATTAATTCATTCTGTTTCCCAAAGGCCCTCAAACCTGCTTCCACATGGGTAGCCAAGATGCCAGGCGGCCTCCTGCCTCCGGTAGGATTACCCCTGGAGACCTGCTTCACAGCTCTTCTGATAGTGGCCCAGCACTTGCACTGACTGGACAGATCACCTCGATAGCTGCCCAGGGCCACTACTGGTAGTGGGTACTCCTGGGGCCAGCCCACAGGCTGAAGGAGCGTTTTTGATGTTTCCAGGCTAAGGCTGTCTCTCCAGTGAAGCAGACAGAAATTGCGTGCTTGGAGATGCAAGTGCGTGGAGTAAACGAGGTGAACGGACTATTCTAGGCGTCATCTCACTGCATCTCCCTTTCAGAGGAGCGCTCCCGAGTTAAACATCTAGTGAAGACAAGAGCGCTATTCGTTTAACAATTAGGTCTCAGTGAGGAGACTGATCAAACTTTCACAGCATGGCTGCTCAACTCCATGTCGCTTTTTGAGAAGACACATTTCTCCTCCTACAAACCACCTTCTTGTATCACTCAGGTTTTTGCTCCCTTCTGGAACAAGTTTCACAGGACCTCGAAGACGTGGTCCCAGAGTTAGAGCAGTATTCCTCCGCGGTCACACGTTTTTAACAAAATAAGTGCTGGACAGTCTTGCACTGTGCCCCTGTCTGGCCTCCCTCTAGTCAAGGATGCAATTGTGTTTAGAATGCTGCCTGGGTTTTGTTTTTTTTCCCCCATATATTTATTTATCTATTAGTTATGATTTTCAGCTCCCAGGTCTGGAATTCAGACTGCAGTCAGCCAAGTGGGAATCCAGCACCTTCACCACCACGCCACCTGCCAGCCCTGCTGCCTTGCTTTTATGACATGCAGTCAGGTGCTGCTTTTAGTACTTATAAAAACAAACAAATAAAAAACTGACACTTTTAAGAAAGATGTTCAGAAACATGGTGAAGGGGATCATGAATTCTGGGCAAACAGTGACCCCTCCCTTTCCCAGCTTCTAGGCCACTGGCCTCACGTGCCACACCCAGTCTCAGCCTCCTTTCCTCGGCAGGGTGGACGTGGTCATCTGCCTAAGCACCACCGTACGCAACGACACTCTGCAAGAAGCCAAGGAGCACAGGGTGTCCCTGAAGTGCCGCAAGCAGCTCCGGGTGGAGGAACTAGAGATGGTAATGCCTCCTAAAACTGCAGAGCTGGGCCTGGAAAGTTGGGGAGGGTGGGGTAGGTCGGGGGAAGATTTCAGCCGCTATTGTGATAAGACTTGGAGCCATGTGTTAAAATTTCACCATATACCAGGACCAGCAGATGGCGTAATGACTGCGTGGCTGGACTCCCACATAACCGACCACAGTTCGAGTCCTAGACTCGGTGGCTTAAACTCACACCAGGCACATATGCATACATGCCCAAGATCCCAAGAGGAGAAAGAAAAGGACTGCAGTGTGGCCATCCCCCCCCCCGGGGGGGTGATTTCCACTTTCTGTCTCTTTGTCTCCCTCTGTCTTTCTGGCGCGTGCACGCGCCCTATAGCAAAAACCCCTGGAAAAAAATCACTATATAGCAATTAGTTTCTTGATTCACTGTTTTGTTTTTGAATTGAAACATTTTTTTTTTGCCACATGTAACTGGAAATCTAGGTATAAGACAAGCTCTAAATATGTGATACAATAATTAGATCCATACTGCCCTCAAGGATCAAGAGTCTTCTCCTCTCCACTCTGCTGTTCTTAGCATTGGCTTATCCTAAGTCCGGATTCCCTCATGGCTGCACGATAGCTGCTGTGGCACCTGGACCTCCTGTCCAATATTCACCTCCAAAAAGAAAAGGGGAAAACAGAGAGAGAAACCTGCCCCACCATGAAATAAAGGTCTTTCCCTTCGATTTGATGGGCACGGCTGGGGCTCTGGGCCTACTTCCCGGCCAGCCACAGTCCCTGGGGACATGCCGTGCACTGACAAGCTTACCCACCAGCAAAGAGAAGTGGTTATCACAGCATTGTCCACAGTGTACACTGCCAGAGGAAAGTTCTTACTCTACCCAAACCATGTTAGACAGACAGCTAAAAAATAGTCTTAATATGTTTGTACTATAAATCATTCTCATTTTACCTCAGTCCAACCAAAATCTGGAAAAGGAACTCAAGTACCATTAACTTTCCAAAAGTTACCTTCCAGATTTTCACATATAGTGGCATGGTAATTCTATTTAAATGGGGCTGGGCCAGATGTCCTAGGACAATAGAGATTTTTAAAAATAATTATTTATTTAATTTTACTTATTCATTCATTTATTTTAATTTGACCAGAGAGATA